ACCCGCGGCAGAGTCAGTCTCGTGTTAACTGCCCCGTGGGGCGGGGTCTGTACCGTGGACTCCGCCGCAGCTTCCGCGGCAGGCTCGTCTCATCGGGGGCAGGGCGCCGAGCGCAGGGGTCCGAGCGCAGGGTGCGGAGCACAGGGCGCCGAGGGCAGGGGGGCCGAGAGCAGGGTGCGGAGCGCAGGGCGCCGAGGGCAGGGGGGCCGAGCGCAGGGTGCGGAGCACAGGGGTCGGAGCGCAGGGTGCGGGCAGGTTTGGCTCCTCCGGAGGCCCCTCTCCTCCGCGTCCCCACCGCCCTCCTTCTGCACGCGATACCTGCTGTCTCTGGGTCCAAATCTCTTCCAAGGTCCCCAGGTGGACTGGACCAGGACCCACTCCAACGGCCTCGGTTTAACCTAATGGTCCTTTTAAAGGTCTGATCTCCAAATGCAGGTGCATTGCGAGGTGCTGGGGTCAGGGTTTCAACATGTGACTGTGGGGTGGGGGGCAGTGTCCAGCCCCTCCCCCGGGACCTAGCACCTCAGGTCTCTGTCCTGCTCCAGGCCTGTCTGCCCTCGGGCTTCTCCCCAGGGTCCTAGCCCCGGCCTGGCCCCTGCTGTGGGCAGGTAGCTTTCCCACGTGCACAATTCTCCCTTTGGGGAGCCATCCCTGAACCCAGGAGACAGGGGACTCTGGCGCTACCCTAACAGCAGCTTCTCCTCAGGGGTGTGCTAGCCAAGCCCCACCAGGTTTCAGGTCAGACTGTGCGCCTGCAGACGCGTGGTCTCCTGCTCTGCCCCCACTGCACTTGCTTCCGGCTCCCTAAGCCTACAGTGTTCTCTGAACCACTTTTCATGACACTGGGCTTGGCAAGGAGTTATTCCATGGACACCCAAAGCACAGGCAAAGTAAGCAAAAACAGACAAATGGGACATCAGCTTAAAAAGTTTTGTGCATCAAAGGACACAATCAAGAGTGAAAAAGCACCCTGTGGAATGAGAGAGAATATTGCCAATCGCGTACCTGATAAAGCGGCCGTACCAGGAATACAGGAACTCCTACAACTCAACAACAAAAAACAAGTAACTTGCCCTGGCCTGTTTGATTCAGTGGTTAGTGTCGACCCAGGAGGGTCTGGGTTTGATTCTGACCAAGGGCACGTACCTCGGTTGCCCGGGTCCCAGTGGGTGCAGGAAGCAACCAATCGATGTCTCTCTCACATCAATGTCTCTCTCCCCCTCCGCTCTCTCTGAAAAGCAATGGGAAAAATATCAGGTGAGGGTTAAACAAAAACTAAAAAACTGGCGAAGGACTCAGACATTTCTCCAAAGATTATACGGGACATCCCAACAAAGCTTATGAGAGGGTCCTCAACGTCACTAACCGTCGGAGAAATGCAAACCCAACGCACCAAGCTCATCGCCTCACACCCGTGAGGAGGCTACTAGCAAAAAACCCACCAAAAACCCCCCCAGAAAACTGTGCTGGTGACGATGTGGACAATGGGAATCATGTGTACTGTAGGCGGAGTTATAAACTGGTGACCCTCTATGAAGCGTGGAGGCTCCTCAATAAAACTAAAAATAGATCTACCCTAGCTCAGCCGGTGTGGCTCAGTGGTTGAGTGTTGACCTATGAACCCGGAGGTCACAGTTCAATTCCCGGTCAGGGCTCCATCCCCAGTCGGGTGTGCAGGAGGCAGCTGATCCATGACTCTCATCACCGATGCTGCTCTCTCCCGCCCTCTCCCTTCCTCTCTGAAATCAATAAGCACATATTTTTTTAAAAAATAGATCTACCCTATGACCCAGCAACCCCACTTCTGGGATGTACCCGACATAACTGGAAGCAGGGCCCTGAGGACGTGCTGAAACCCCAGGCTGGCAGCAGCACTACTCACAAGGGCCGAGAGGTGGCAGCCCCCACGCCCTTGAAGGATGGGTGGGAAAACAAAAACGTGCTCTGTGTCCACACAGTGGGATAGTATTTGGCCTCAGAAAGCCTGTCACACGCTGCCACAAGGATGAACCCTGAGGACACCATGCTGAGTGAAATAAGCCAGTCACGAAATGACAGCTCCTGTTTAATTCTATTTATATGAGGGACCTAGAGTATGCAAAGTCCGAGCCAGAAGGTCCACGTGGGAGCCGGGGGCTGGGGAGGGCAAGAGGGGGTGCTATCGGGCGGAGTCCTGGAGACCATCTCACAGCAACGTGAATATACACAACACTTAAAAATGGCTGAGATGGTAAACTCTGTGTTTTTACTGCAGTAAAATGAACAGGCAAGACCCACTAGGGAAAAACATTCACCAAACAGATCTGGCAGAGGACCCGTGTCCCGAATGAACAAAGAGCTCCTACAACTCAACACTGACTGGGGAGGTGCGGGGCTGGGGCTGGAGCTGGGGGCAGGAGGCTGCCCCAGATGGGCAGAGGGCAGAGGGCAGAAGGCAGCAGGAGCCCGGTGTCCCTCCCCGCGGCAGTGCCCTCTAGTGCCCCTGCTGGCACAGCACCCCGGAAAGCAGCCGCGTGCAGGTCCAGCAGGAAGGCGGCTGGGAGCGAGAGGCTAAGGCTCCAACCAGCCGGGGTGTGAGTGCTGCAGTCCCTCTGGAAAACGTGCTAGTGTCCTAGAAAACTAGAGCAGCACTCACCTGAGGACCAGTAATCCCACCTCTCGGGTATGTGGCCCAGGAGAAAAGAAAACGTCTGTCCATAGACTTGTTCGTGGCAGCTTTGTCCACAATGGGCCCAAACTGGAAACAAGTCGCTGTCCATCAGTAGGAGGAAGAATGAAGATTGAAAACCCCGTGTTGCGCAAAGGCCACCTGCCACGGAGGAGCGCGTGCTGCAGGATTCCACGTCCACGAACTTGTACGACAAGCAGGAGGCGGCCACGGTGACAGGGATGAGACCATGGGCGGAACTGCTGTGGTGATGGATGTCGCCTACAGAGGCGGCTGCACTGAGTGCGGGTTCATCAGAATCCAATGAACCAGGACTCAGAGCTGTACGCGAATTAGATGTTGAACAACTTGAAAACAGAGAAAGAACCTCCAGTTTAGAGCTCTACAGAAAAGGAGGGGACCCAGGGAGCCCTGCTGATGTCCCCTAGTTTTGTTAAACCGAAAGTTACTCCAGAATAAATCTAAACAACCAATAACACACACACAACACACGTATGTAACGATTCTCCAAACTGTTTATAAAAATGCTTCTGGACAGGCCAGTGCGCTCAGTGGTTGAGCGTCAACCTGTGAACCAGGAAGTCGTGGTATGACTCCCGGTCAGGACATGTATCTGGGCTGTGGGCTCGATCCCATCAGGGGCGCACAGGAGGCAGCCGCCAAGTGACTCTCCCATTACTGATGTTCCTCTCTCCCCCTCTTCCCTTCCTCTTTAAAATCAATAAAATCATATTTTATAAAATGCTTCCCCAGCATTGGAAGTCCTGCTTTGTCTAAATTTCTCGTCGATATTTCCAGCTTTTTTCACTTATAAGGTATTATTATTATAAGGTACTATTAATCGTTCGTGAGCTAACGTGAGGGAAGCTTTCAGTCCTGCTGTGGGAGAAACCCGCAATCCTGAGAAGTAGGCAGGTGGCAGCGTGTCACTGTCCCTGACATACCATTTATGAGGAAAAGGCGGCTCCCTACACTGGAATTGGTTTACTGAAACCCAAGTATAAGGAGCTCACTCTGAAAGGCGATTTAAGGAAGAAAATGTTATGTAAGCAATGACAGGCAGTTTCTAATTTCGGGTCTCCAAAAGTGCACCCTCGTTTAAGGAAACTCCAAAGAACACCCATCGTGCCCTGGCCAGTGTGGCTCAGTGGCTAGAGAGTCGGCCCCACACGGAAGGGCTGCAGGTTCGATTCCCAGTTAAGGGCACATACCTGGTTGCAGGTTCGATTCCTGCCACCAGTCGGGGAATGTGCAGGAGGCAACCCATCGATGTCTCTCTCACATCGATGTTTCTCTCTCCTCCCACTCTCTCTGAAAAGCAATGGAAGACCTAATCCTCAGGTGAAGACTAACGACGAATAGTAAAGCACATTACATCACTGTCACACAGAAAAGAAAAACAGCCCAGCAGAATGCTGGCTGCCCAGGACTGTCCCAAGCTGGCCCCCCGCTGACCCCTCTGACCACTACTCACACCCCTGCAGAAGACACGGGGTCACCCATCCTGCTTCCTTCTGGAAGGGCGGGCAGGGACTTAGCCTCCAGGTGACCACCATGTTGGCTCCCTGGGCATCTCGAAGGACGGTGTGCTGCTATCTTGGTAGCAGAGCACCTCCTGTCCGAGGCGGGGGCTCCCACCACCCAGGTCCCCCCTCAGAGATGGGCCCAGAAGCAGTAAGACAGGGTCAGAGGGTCACAATGGGGATACTGACAGACCACGGTGCTGCCAGGAACCCTCAGGCATCGTTGGCCTGTTTACAAAAACCCTGTTTACTGAAAGTCCTGGTCACAACCCCTTGCTGATGACCAAACACGTGCGTCTCTCGTGTTTCCTCACAAGCTTCCACTGACAGTGCGGTTCTGACCCTCCCTCCTGCCCTCCCAGATCC